CACCGCCATGCTGGTGCCGGGCGCCGTCTACCTCGACGACGAGCGCGTCATGTACAGCGGCGGCGCCGCGCGCGGCGGGCCCTGGCACCGCAAGCGCAACGCCCTCATCTGGCGCGGCGTCTCCTCGGGTGCCCGCAACAAGCGCCACAACTGGTGGCACATTCACCGCTTCCGCTTCGTCCAGATGCTCAACGGCACGACCGTCGCCGCCGCCGAGGCCGGCGACGCCGCCCGCGCCAACACGTTCACCCTGCCGCCGCCAGGCGAGAAGAAGTACGTCTACGACATCGCCGCCCAGCGCGCCGGCCGCCTCGGCGCCTGGCTGCGCTCCTTCGCCGACGTCGCCTTCACCGACATCCTCTGCGACCCGCCCGACATGTACACGCACTGGTGGAAGGGCACGCTGCGCAAGAAGATCTGCACCATGGTCGAGCCCTACTACGGCGTCGCCGACGAGCTGCCCATGAAGAAGATGTACAACCACAAGTACCTGCCCGACATTGACGGCAACTCATTCAGCGGCCGCTACCGCGCCTTCCTGCTGTCGTCGAGCATGCCCCTCAAGTCGACCATCTACGCCGAGTGGCACGACGACCGCCTCGTGCCCTGGGTCCACTTTGTGCCCTTTGACAACACGTACGTAGACCTCTACGGCATCATGGACTACTTTCTGCGCGGCCGCGACGCCGCCGCCGAGCGCATCGCCACCGACGGCAAGCGCTGGGCCGAGACGGTCTTGCGCCGCGAAGACATGCGCCTCTACGTGTGGCGGCTGCTGCTGGAGTATGCGCGTGTCATGGATGACAATCGCGATCGCCTAGCGTTTGTGCAGGACTTGATTGATTAGACGACACGTCATGAAACGAATAATAGCTAGACGAATAGATACCCCAGCTTTCATGGTAAAATGCGATTATTTCCTTGCAGTGGCATGTGCACTGATATGCTCTATCCGATCTATACAAAAACAGTTCTATAGGGGTAGCCAGGAATTGAAGATCAACAGGAAAAGAAAATAAGAGAAAGAGAAAAAAAAACGCCGTGCACTCGTATACAAGTGTGATGACTGGTGGACAGGGCACCAAGCCAGATGTCCAAGATTTCGAAGACTACTCAGCCTTCTTCGAAGCCTTGGTGCGCAGCTTCATCAGCAGGTACACCAATGCGTACGAGCTGAGGGCAAAAATGACCACAATGGCCGCATCGCGCCAGCCGTAGTAATACTCCATCAGGTTCAACGTCCGCAGGTAATCGCTGCCATCTGAGTACTGGCAGATCCGGCACGCAGACGTAGCTTCCGGGTTGACCAGATTGGTTGCGGAACCCATACCCTGCAAATAGTCGGCAAGGTAATCGCCACAGGTCGTCCCATTGGGGGTGTCAAACAGCGCAAACTCGTGGTCTTTGCAGGTGACATCCGTGCCCCAAACATCAAAGACGAGCATGCTGCCCATGAGGTAGTTGAAAGGGTTGAGCCAGTACATCCAGTACCTCCAGAACGTCTGGAGCTGTGAGTACGGCACGAGAACACCACAGAAACTGATGAGTGTACCCAGGATGATGGGGTTGACGAGTGAGGCGAAAACGGCATTGGGGGCGTACGCAGCAACGAACTGACCGATACCAGTGTAAACAAACTCGTACATCAGCATGACGAAGAAAGTAGCGCCAGCGCGGTTCGAGTCGCCGGGAAAGCCGACAGTGTAGTACCAGCAGACGAAATAGCTGACGGCACAGATGCAGAGGTACGGAATCTCGGAAACGATCAAGCCCGTGACGAATGCGATCCACGAGTACATCTTCGACTTTTTCTCGCGGGTTTCGAAAATATCTCGACGGTCTATAAAGAGAGGCTGCAACTGCGCCATGACGCCCGGCGCGACAAAAATAAAGTTGAAGATAGTGAAGAGACGTCCTGTCAGGTCGTTTACTGAGCTGCCGATCATCCAGAAGGAGAAGCCGTTGAAGAGGGCTCCGCCGATGTGAAGTGCCAGTTTGTTGTTGACATAATCAACGTTGCGATACATGGCGACATTCATGCGGTGCGTGACAATTTTCGTTTGCTCCCACAGGGGTAGAGCAAACTCATGAGCTTCTTCAGTTGTACCAGGAGGTTTAGCTGCTGCTTCGGCGTTCATACGATCGAGCTCGTCAACAACAGCCGCGTGCTCAGGTGATGAGAGCCAGACCTCGTTCCAATCGCGACCCTGGGAGAGATGCCCCGAGACAACATCGATCATGTGTTCAGCCGGATTTACCTCCTTGGGACACGGGGCACCGTGGCGACCAAAGTAGTCCTTGAGGGTGTTTCCATTGTCGCCAATGTCGCCGAAATAAACCGTCTTGCCACCCTTGGCCAAAAGGAGGAGTGTGTCAAACTCGGCAAATAGCTGAGCGGAAGGCTGGTGGATGGTAACGAGCACGGCCTGCCCAACATCGGCTAGCTTACGAAGGAAGCGAACAGTGCTATAGGCGGACTGTCCGTCTAGACCAGATGTTGGCTCGTCGAGGAAGATTAGAATGCTGGGCTTGGAAACAAGTTCAACGCCGATAGTAACTCGTTTCCTTTGTTCGACAGAGAGACCAGAACCGACGCGACCAATCAAGGTGTCAGCCAAGTCGTGAAGCTCAAGTAGATCAATAATAGTATCGACGTAGCGGAGTTTCTCTTCGCGAGGTACACTGCGATCCTGCCTGAGAAGAGCGGAGAATTCAAGAGCTTCGCGAACCGTGGCGTATGGCTCATGAACGTCGAGCTGCTCGCAGTATCCTGCAGAGCGTTGGAAGGAAATGGGCAGAGGACGCCCGTCCACCATGATGGACCCGTGAATCGTGCCGTCCGTCTTCCTCTGAGCTAAAACATCAAGTAGAGTAGTCTTACCAGCGCCCGAGCTTCCCATGAGTGCGCCGAGCATGCCTGGCTTGACCCAGCCCTGGACGTTGTCCAGAAGCTGCCTGTCGCCGCTAGGGGTTTTTACTGTGTACGTGAGGTTTTTCCAGGTAAAGATGGATGTGTTGCGCATGAGATCGCTTGTTCCCTTTGCCTTTTCTGTCTTGGCGTTCGGGGTGGTGCTGGTCTCCACGTCAGTGGTCTCGGCTAGGGCCTCAAGATTCTGAGACTCCTCGTCCTTCTTAAGGAGGTGAATGGATGTCTTGGCGTTCTCTCGGGGAATGACCAGAGACGGACCAGCTTCAGCAGATGGCCGCCATCGCATGGTCGCAGCGATGGTGATCACGACGAAGAGTACCCAAAACGCCCAGACCGCGCCAAAGTTTCTCCAGATGTGGCTATGGCTGTATGACAGGGCATCCAGATACTGTTCACCAGTAACGAATGTAGCGCCTTGCGTCGCTCCCAAAATACCAGCACACGACTGAAAGTTGCTGTCGGCGTAGCCCGGTCCATTGGGGATGAGGTTATGTCCGATACACGGAATGGTCTTGCCTTGGAATTCATTGGCCATGAGGGCATCAAACCCATAGGAGAGGGGGTTAATCCAGAAGATCCAGATAAACCAGGGGTGCATCTGAGAATATTGGATCTGATAGCCGGCATAGAGAACTGTAGTCATAATTGCAAATCCAGAAACCTTGGAAGCAGCATCGAAGTTGGGGAAGGAGGCACCAATAGCGCGAAAAAATGCAGTCATACACTGGATCCTGTCAGCACTGTGGCCCGGCATTCGATAAGACACATATCAGCACTTACAAAGGTAATGGCGATCAGGCTGACCCAGAATGTGAAGAAAGCCCCCGCAGAGCTTGTCAGTCCAACCATGAAGTACAGGACAACCGAGAAGACTGAAACTTGGAAGAAGATGACAGGTATATCGGCTGCAATTTGAGCGACGCAGAAAGCAGCGGGATGATACAGGGCGAACGATTTGTGTTTGATGAGGACGGGGCGACCAGCAAAAGAGCTCGTCACTTCGGCCATGGCGACTAGCGCATTGAACAGCAAGGCGAAGAAGACGGCACCTCCTTTCAAGAAAAGGCCACCCGAGTTGTTCGGGGCCATGTAAAAGAGCGAACCAGCCATCAAGGCCTGAATAAGGGTTGAAACTTGGGTGATGATGAAAGTTGCCTTGTCGCCCCAAAGGATCTGGTACTGACGAATAACGGCGGCTTTCACCTGGGTTGTGAAGCTGACCGTTAAAGGACTGCCCTTGGGGAGCTGGGGGTGCTTCTCGCCGACAACGCCTTCTTTGAACAGCCGGGTGTTCTCTCTGGCTTCCTCCGTATCCGGATAGTCATATTCTGCCACCATCTTTGGCTTGATCGCCGACTTGTCGTAAGCTTGCTGGACGGCGTCAGCTGTGCGAGGGAAAGTTCGCTCAAAACCTGGTTTGATCTGGCGTTCCTTAGGCACAGTAACTCCTGTGAGAAAATCGCCAACGTTGGCACCGTCACGACAGATAAAGCCAAGCTCTTCCATGAATGGTCGAGCTTCCTGTGTAGGCCCGTAGTAGATCTCCTTACCCCCGTCGAGTACGAGGACCTTGTCAAAAAGGTTATAAATTCCGTTGCCGGCCTGATAGAGGGTCACAATCGATGCAAGGCCTAGCACGTCAGTCAACGCTCTGATGGCCTTCGTATATTCGAGGGCTCTTAAACTTTGTTAGTCATTGGTCCACTTGACGGCAAGCAACTTTGACTATGACTTACGTGCTGGCATCAAGACCACGTGTGCTATTATCCCAGCAATAGACCGAGCCCCTGGTGGCGAGGCATTCAATAATGGAAACTCGCTTCCGCTCTCCGCCAGACACGCCGCGGACGTACTCATTGCCAACCTTGGTATCGAACGTGTGCTGAATGCCCATGGACTGAAGAAGGAAGTCGCGAGTCTCAATGCGGAGTTCTTCGTCTGAAGCCACACCCTCGGGCAATTTGAACGGAATCTTCATGCGGCTGGCAAAGTCCATAGTCTGACCGACGGTGAGGTCCGGGAAGAAGAGCTCTTCCTCGGTGTTCATGACAATCTGTCCTCTGTAGTGCTGAGCCTCGTCGGCAGTCATGGCGCCGTAGCGAACATCGCCGGTGACGGCGGCGTACCCACGTCGATGGTTGGCCAGGACGCTAAGGAGCGTGGTGCAGCCGGACCCTGGGCGGCCCAGTACGAGCAGCATCTCGCCAGGCTTCACACAGCCATGACTCTCGGAGAGGATAGACTTCAGGGGCGGTTTATGCCGGGACTCCTTGAAAAGCTTCGGGATGTTGAACTGGCTGCCGAAGTTCTCGTGAATGGCGGCATCGGCGCTGACGGCTTGGACAGTGAGGTTGCTCCAGGTGATGCCGAGCTTACGAGGCGCGAAGCCCGATCGTTGGTCGCGCTCATGGATAGCCTCAACCTTGTGCTTGAGCCCCCAGGTCTGATCGTTCTCCGGAACGGAGCCGAGTTCGATGGAGGGCTCCAGTGTGGCTAGTGTTGCTTCTGACTCCATTGTTGACTTGAAGAGGAGAACCAGGGTCTGACAGAGGTTTTCTGGCTCAAACTCTACGTTTCCCTCGACGGGGGCAAATAGTGCGAGAACATGATATATACTAGAGGGCAAGCGGGCTTCGGGGTTCTCAAGGCACCGATCGAAGACCGATTCGAGTCGGACAACAAAGCGTCATGCCTTTGCGGTTTGACCGGAGGCACTATCCAGTGTTGCTGTCATGATTGAGCCGTGGATCCGCCCTTCGGAGGGCCGGACCCTGGCGAGTAAACACCATATGGCCCGCTGTTGAGGCTGCGTCTGGCATTTTGAGACCGCTTAGTCAACGAGAAAAAGGCGTGGAGGGAGCGCCACGGCACAGGTCAAGCACAGATTTCGCATCATCGCGTCGGGTCTTCGGCCTCCAGTGGATATTCGCTGGTGAACAAAGCAAGGTAAGCCTGCGCTTCTAGATGCAGGGACTCGTGTTTGGATGATGGTGTTTTGGGTTTGCATGTCAGGCTCGAGGCGGCACCGCGACTCTGGACCTTGTCAGATGGCAAGCTAATACCTCCTTCGTCCGTGGTGCAGGATGCAAAGTGCGCTGAGTCAGCGGGATACCAGTGCTTGTCGTTGGCTCTTGCCCTCTCTCACCCTCTCTCACCCTCTCTTGCCCTGTCTCAGCCCAGTGTGGAGTTGACGCAATCGAGCAGGAACGTGCGGCGGGTTCGGATTTAACCCACCAAAAAGGCCCCCGAACCCACTGCAGCCGCGACCCAGAAAAAGCATGATGGGTATCTGCCGAGAAGGGATCGCCCATCCGCTGATTCAGCGGTCGTGCCTTTAAGCCCCGTGGCTCCCGCTCTTCCAAGGGTGCGGCTGCCCGGATGTCCCGTCAGCTCCTGCTTTCACGACTTCACCGGCCGTGGCTCCTTCTGACTCTGGCTTGGGCTCAACGCAGCCGGCGTGGCGTGACACATTTCACTCGTCCACGGCGAAATACCTCAAACCAGCCGCCGTGTCCACCAGGCACAGAGACGTCCTACACTTGTCTTTCTACATTTCCGCGAGAGCGGGTTTCTTACATCGTCAACATGACCCGAAAGAAGAGGGCCTGCGATTCCTGTCATCGAAGGAAGGTCAGTCAATGCCTGCCTATACCCAATCACTCATGCTCCACTCCACAGAGGGTTGTCATGGCCGATGGCTGCCTTGCATCCTGACCGTTCTGCGTCATGCCTCCTCTGTGCAGGGACCCATCTGTCTAACTTGCAGCAGATCCAGTGTGATGGTGTACTGCCTCAGTGCAATTTCTGCTTCCACAATGGTGTGACGTGCACCTTTAATCGCATCCTAGGAGCTAGGAAGCGAACCCCCAAACCAAGGTAGGTCGGGACCGGACTTTCAATCACCCCGGCAGAGCTCATCGCCGACTTGTCTCAACTGAGGAGGGCGGGTCTCCGCCAATCAATCCGGGACCAGCGTCCCGGGCCATGTGCTGGGCGTCCCTCCCCTTCCCTGGCGTGGATAGTAATCCACCTGCATCTCACATGTATCGGACCCTGGATCGCCTGGTCGAATCAGCGCCGCGATCCCTCTTTATTAATCTCTTGGCCGATCGCGCTGACCCGTCTCACTTGTCAGTGGAAACTCAGACAAAGATCTAGCCAGACGCATCGAGCGCATCGAGCTTGCTCTCGATGCTGCTCAGAAGAACTTGGCAGCGAGGATACTCGAGTCGAGGGAGGCTGACGGTTCGGAAACTACCTCACCCAGCGCCTCGTCGTATCATCCGAACGGTCAGACAGGGGATTCGGCCACCGCGAGCAACAATGGTGCCACCCCTAACGGTCATAAGTACACTGGCGAGGGCCTTTCGCCTGCCACAACAACAAGAAAAGCACGCTCTGCCGGCCGGCCAAAGAGCAGCAACTTTGGTACCCTTCACTTTGCTGGCTTTCACGTAGGAGAGATTAGCTCCTGCAATGGCATCCCCTTCTTTTCTCCCAACGGCCAAAACTGGATCCGATCTCGCACGGGTCAAGACCCTACCTTTGAGAAGCTGCTCGCTACTGGCCCCCCTTGGCACAGCACCAAGGAAAACCACGCTCCCTTGAGGCCCGAAGATCATGCCTGTACAACGACGTGGGAGTTACCGGATAAGACGCTCGTCGAGAGCTGCGTCCATGCGTACTGCTCTTCCTCGTTCGGCCATGCCTTTCCTATTGTTCAGCCAGAGGAGTTCCAGCTCACTCTCGATCTTGCATACGAAGACGAGGGAAGTCCTCTGACTATAGAAGCAACCAGCGCCAAGGCATGTCTGTTTGCTTTCATGACGTTTGTTCACCAGAGCCGCATGGAACATGTTGGCGAGATCGGTATTGACGGCCAGTTATACATGAGAAAAGCCTGGCAGCTCATTCCTCAGATCATGCATCAGGTGGATGTACCGAGCTTCCAGGCCCTGTTCATGCTTGTATGTCTACTGCCTCGAACGTTTGGATGTTTTCTAACCCTGCCCAGTGCATGTCTAGCATGTTTATGGGCGACTTTCAACGAGGGTCGGTTGTCCACGCTCTCGCATGTCGTATACTCTTTATGCTCGGTGGTCATGCGCAGCCCAGCCAACGTTCAACAACCAACAATGCGTTCTACCGCGCGGAACGCAATACATGGCTTGAAAGCCATCTCAGGCAGATGTTTTGGATGTCGTACACCCTTGATAAAGAGGTTTCTGTTCGCACGGGACTGCCTCCGTCGATTGAGGATGATTTCTGCGATCTCACCCTTCCACAGGCCCATCGAGATCCACTGCTCATGGTCAGAGACGGTTCCGGGTTCCTCAGTGACACGAATTCTGCCCCGCGTGCCTGGCTGGGAACGTTCCCCACTACACTGCCGGGTGATCTAACTCTGACCATCATCAAGTCAAAAACCTACAGAGTATTATATTCAACGGCGGCCCTTAGAAAGTCAGATGCTGAGCTCCTCCGCGACATTCGCGAGCTTGACGAAGAGCTTGAGAGGTGGCGGTGTTCTGTTCCACTACCCTTCCGACCGGCCCTCGCCTTCTCCGACGATACAGCCTCCTCCATTGACAAGGATATGGACAGCCACATCATAATGAAGAAAAGTATCATCCACTTCGAGTATCATTACCTCTCAGCCGCCATTCATAGGGCAAGTGGGCGATGTTCTGTTTGGGCAGGGGGTGAAGGAGTCAGTTCGAGTGTCGCCATCACCGTGCAAGCCAGCCGTTCGACACTGGTCTATCTCCGTGCTGCAGTTGATGGCATTGTCGAGACTGCATTTTGGTATGAGATGGCTCATGACCCAGTCCGTGACTGATCTTTGCATGTGCTCACATTTAGCAGGCTCGTCGTCTTCTATCCCATGTCGGCAACGCTAACACTGTTCTGCAACATTCTACTCGACCCATGCGACGCCCAAGCCGAAGACGATTTAGATCTATTATGCACGATACCAAGCCTCATAATGAGCATGAAAAGGAGCCCCCTGACAGCTAAAGAACAAGCCTATTTCCAGGAGGTGAATGAGTTCTTTGCCGAATTGACACGCCTGGCGAGATGCGCCATTGACCGCATCAGTCCCATGCGGGACGCAGAAGCTGCTATGCAGCTAGATTAGATGCAGTTGTGGTAATCCAATGTGACGATACGCGCGATGACGTTCCGGCTAGCGACTTACGATCTGGCTACACTGGCGTTTTTAGGGGGGGTGAAACACGATGTAGTTGTTCTATCTGATAGACGGCCTTGACTCACACTTTGATCTTGTGTCGAAACACCTCTTTGCACTGAAATCATTCTTGAACGAGAATCCTCGACGGCGCTTTGTCTCATGTACCAACGACTAGGTCCATGTGTCCAGCCGGAAGGTATCTCACGGTGACCCGCACACAACATGTCCGTTCTGCTTAATCTGGAGGGATTTACCCTGATTGCAAAGATGGACTAGTACGTAACTTTCTCATATTCATATTCCACGCACAACAAACACTACAGAAGACCGCTACTAGCTACTACGAGTCCCAGATGGGCCCAAATGCAGGCACTCCACGGCTCTCCATCTGGTACACAAAATTTGCTCGTCGTTGGTCCGTTGGAGATTATGGCGACGCACTCGGCCCCGCTCTCCACATAGAGCTGGTACGCAAGCTTGACGAGGTCCGGCCGTCCGCGCTCGTCCGTGTCCCAGATGAGCGCGTTGGGGTCGGCCGCAAGGATGGTATCCATGATGCCCTGGCCGTAAGTGCTGAGGGGGTTCTTGGTGCTCCAGAGGACGCGGGCGGGGACGCGCCGCTCCATGAGCACGGGCAGGCAGGGGCCGATGCCGGAGCCGGTGCTGACGAGGACCATCTTCTTGAAGAGGGGCGCGACGGCGAGGACGCCCGAGGCCGGCGTGCCGCGGGTCCAGATGGACGTCGGCGGGTTCTCAATGATGCGCTTCGTCCAGTCGCCCGCCTTGGAGACGACGATGCTGAAGCCCTTGCCGCTGGGCTCCGGGATGGCGGCGAAGGCGTGCCACTCCACGAGCGGCTTGTCGGTGATGCGGACGCCCTTGGAGGTGCAGGGAGCCGGCGTGCTGAAGTCAAAGTGCAGTCGGACGGCGTGCTTGGAGAGCGGCTCCGGGCGGACGGGGACGCGGCGCAGGCGCATCCATGGGAGCGCGATGCTGAGGGTGGCCAGCCCGACAAGGTACACCGACGGCGTGCGCGCGAGGGTGGCGCCGAGGGGCTGGGAAGGGGAGGCGATGGACTGGGCGGACAGCACGAGATGCGCCCACACGAGGCCGACGGAGGTCCATCCGGCAAAGCGATGGGTCCACTCGAACTGGTCATGCATCTTGGCACGAATGGTCGGGTACGCCATGACGAGAATGGCAATGAGCAGGAAGAGGACGAGGTAGGTCAGCACGAGAGTTGGAACGTTCACATTGTACACGGGGGACTTGGAGATGAAACTGCCTGTGGCGGCGAAGGCGTAGATGATCCACCAGACCGAGGCGGAGACGGCGCAGCCAGAGTGAACGCCGCCATTGTGATAGACCCGGGCAAAGTGTCGCCGGACGCCCAGCGGGAAAGACGTTGGCACGCGAGAGCAAACCCGGAAGATGAAATTGATGACATAGTCCTGACGCAGGAGAACGGCACCGAGAAGGTTGGCGCCGACGGCCGTTGCAATCTTGTCCAGAGGTAGCGCAAAGTTGTCGGCGCGGCTCTCAAACAGCATCCAAAGGAAGACGGAGAAGTTGGCGATGAAAATGGTGCCGAACAGCTTGCGATACGCCGACAGACCACGGTGACGAAGCCATCGCCAGCCGTGGAAGCCCTTCTTTTGGGGGAGCTCGTAGTCTTTGGGCTCGGGCTCACCGTCGACAATCTCGACACCTTTTTCGAGGTTCAGTTGGCTTTCAGAGCCGACAAGAGTTGTGGGAGACCAGTGGCTTGAATCAGGCGATGGTAGGCTGCCAGCCGATGCAGCATGCGTCAGCGCCCGAGTAGGGATGCTCAGGGGAGTGGGGGCGAGACCATAGAGGCCTGTCGACGAAACATCGTGGACCTTGGGAATGATGGCCACAGCCGAGAAATTGGAGAAAGTTCGGGAGAAGGCTCTGGTGTAGGAAGAGGATCTCCCATTGCGATGGACTTTAAGATGCGCTTGTCAACCTTGCCGTTGGGTGTCAAGGCAATGGCAGGCAGGAACTTCCAGATAGTTGGTACGGCGTAGAAGGGCAGACCATGGCCGACAGTCTTCTTGAGCTCTGCCTCGTCGATAGGCCGCGGTGCTGAGTAGAAGCCCCAGAGTTTCTCGCCAATCTTCAGAGCACAGCCCTTGATGACAGACGGACACTTTTCAATGGCTCTGGAGACTCCGTCAAGCTCAACACGAAAGCCCGCGATCTTGACCTGGTCGTCCTTGCGACCGAGAGGCTCGAGGCTGCCGTTTTCCAACCAGCGAGCGAGATCGCCAGTGTTGAACATCATACGGCTGAGTGGAGATCAGCAATCATGACACCGTCATGGTAAGATATTCAACTCACCCGCTGTTGGTAAACTTGTCCAGCTTGTATCTCTCACCGGTGAGCTCGGGTAGATTTAGGTAACCCTTTGAAACACCAGGGCCACCGGCCCACATAATACCAGGCTGTCCGATGGGTACGGGGTTCTCGTTCTCGTCGAGGATGTAGATATTTGTGTTGGGGTTTGGTCGGCCAATCGACAGCACAGCACCTGGCCTGTGACGATGAGCCGAGTTAAGGATGCTGATCTCAGTCGGTCCGCAAACGTTCCAGAATTTGACGTATGGCGCCCACTTCTCCGCCAGCGCGACTGGGCATGGCTCGCCACCGACAGCGATGGTGCGGATGTTGGGGAAGTCTTCACGATCCGGCATGTGCTTGAGAACGACAGACGGAGTGGCGATAACTGTGTCAACGCGACGCAGACAGTCATGCCACAGATCGTCGCCGCTGCCTCGAATATGGAGTGTGCCGCCGTTCATCATAGTTCCCAGAATCTCCCATGCACCTAAAGTTGTCAGCGGTCCTGACCACGGCAGTAGTATAGTGAAATTTGGACATACACATATCGAAACCGACGTTGAGCTGTTGGGCAACTTGAGAGCCAACCTTGATGCCGAGCTTCGATGGTTCGGCAAGCAGACTGTTGGTTACGCCTCTATGTCGGACATCGACGCCCTTTGGCCGGCCAGTAGTGCCAGATGTGTAGATGACATAGACACCATCGCTCGGCAGCACCTCGACGCTGGGGTTTGAGGTGCATCCAGTGCTCCAAAGACGGCTGTTGGCGCCGAGAGCCAGGACCTTAACGCCTGCTGCCTTTTCCGCTGGAATGCATGCAGAAGCCTTGGCCTCGAACTTGGGGGTGCAGAGGACAATGCGCGCCCCAGAGTCGGCAATGTCATATGCTAGAGTGTCTTCGGGGATGATGGCACCATCTAGGGGCACATACTGACCGCCGGCCTTGAGCACGGCGAAGATGAAGACGATCATCTCAATGCACCGAGAGTATACGAGAACGACCCTCTCGCCCCTCTTCATGCCGTAGGTATTGCGAAGCTCGTTAGCGAGCATATTCGCTCGTCGATTGAGCTCGCGGTATGTGATCTCGGTACCATCGTAGTGGCGGACGGCTGTGACATCTGGGTTCTCGGCAACGATGGCCTCGAAGGCATGGTGGACAACGCCATATGCGATGGACGCCCTCTCACCCCGGCCAAAGGTGTTAAACAGGACGCGGTCTGCTAGGGACAGATCCTCGAGGCTATGGAACGAAGCATTGGAAGACATGATGGCCCTGAAAGCTACCGCCCGGGTGCTTACAAAAACGAAGAAGCAAGGCCAACGAGCAGAAAAGAGATCGACTGTCGACCACGCATCATGGGGCTCAGGTATCGTGGGTCTGGACGGCTTATAAGCCCGTTCCGTGGCGGCCTCAAGCTACGGTTCCATGTCGGCATGAACCAGTCAACTACCTGAGCAACCTGCTGCATGCCCACATGTCACAAACACAAAAAGAGAAGCCCGTGTCGGCCAAGTCTGGCCGACGACGGGGGAACTGATTATCGCGCGCCGGTTCCAGGGGCGGAGTCGGCAACGCCGCTGGCTACCATGGAAGCAGCCATCTAGGCAGACGTGCAAGCAGGAAAGCACAGTACCTGGGGGCTCTGCCTTGGAACATGCCGTCGGCCGTCGAGCTGTGAACGGCATTGATCAACGGTTGAGACGGTTCTCGACGGCGTCCAGAAGCCCCGTCTTGTTCTGGTGCGAAACACCTGCCTCTCCGCTGTACCTGCCCAATGTGGGCACATAATCTGCAGTGTAACTAGGGTTATCGCCTCGCTGATCGAAACGTGGGTTACCAACCTGGGACAAATCGAGCGCGGAAGTGCGACATCGAGACCCGCCAAAGGTGCAACGTTTTGAGTTCGAGCATTGCCGAAGACAGGTTTATCGCGCTCGTATTGGCGATCAACATGATGGATCTCATTCATGTCAGGGCTCTACAGACAGGGGTTCCCGGCGATTCTTCAGCGGCGCATGTACAGTTGGGGAAGCTCGCCGATGCGGAGGTGACATGACTCGAGCGCTTTTAAGGGCGATCAGGGTCTTAGCATGCACACAGTTGCTCACTGTCGCCTCTGAAGAGTGGGGAGGCTTGAGTACCCATCATCTTAACTTGCATCGTCTGGTGGTGGCGGATGTCCCCACGCCTCGAAACCTGACATGTGCTGGCCTTTGTGCCTTGAGACGATGGTTTCGAAATTACTAAGAGCTTGTTAAGTCTTTAGGCGTGTGCCCCGCGTCGTCTCGCCTTGCATTGCATTGCATGTGCGTTGGTGCTGTGCTCTACCCATCTATCACTTTGCTGTCACCTTCCCACATATCAACAGCTCTTTTAAGCAGGGAACCTCCCCGGCCATCAAAAATACTGCCTGGTAACAAGTCAGTCATACCATTGTGTCCGGCACACTATCAACATCATGGACAGTCTCAAGAACATCAAGGTCGCCGTCGACAGCCAAAAGGGCGTGCGCTGGTGCGCTTCGACCGGCCTGCAAAGAGTAACGCCTTCTCCCAGACCATGATTGGGGAGATGGTATCTGTCCTGCAACATCTCGATGCTCTTGACACAGTCCGCGCGGTCGTCCTCACTGGAGGTCCAGATGGTCCTTTCTGTGGTGCGTATCCTTTCTCTGCTTTCTGTTCCCTCTCTCACCCTTTCCCACTGCTCCTTTTCTCAGGAACGCAAAAATCAGCCATGTTGCAGATGATTCGGAGTTGGCTCCGTTCCAAGTTCGTGGGCCAAGACTTTGAGACCCCGGCATGTGGGTGACACGTTGGCGTCGCCGACTGCACGCAACAAACTGTGCCGTGGCAGCACAGCTCCCCATCTCCACACATCATGAGGACCCCACACGCGTCTTCCAGGGGCTAACATGCAACAATATGGCAGCTGGCATGGATCTCAACGAGCTCGTGCAGATTACTACCTCATCGGCCCACAAGAGAGCTTTCCTCAAGGATCTCACTGACGCCTTTGCTGGGTTCTCAAAGCCCGTCATCGCTGCCGTCATTGGGTTTGCTGTAGGTCCAAGCCCTTGCGTATCCCGGCCGGCACAGACCTTCCCCTTCTTCGAGTCCAGACCGAGTTGTGTCACAGCACTGCAACGCGACCCAGCAAACGCGGCCTGCGACGTTGCGTTTTGACAGTCTGGCTCGGTCCACGCCTTTTCGGATATATGCCCCGATCATGTGTTTATCCGTCTTTTCCTGGTGCTGATTATCATTCTTTGCAGCTTGGCGGAGGTTGCGAGATCGCTCTCGCGGTATGTACCTGTCCCCATGTCTCATTCTTATTCTCTCCCTTGCACGCACACTGAGCAAGCGGGAACCAAGCGCTGATCCCTCTCCGCGCCCGCCCTGCAGTGCGACATTATCTACGCTGCCGAAGACGCCACCTTTGGTCTTCCCGAAATTAAAATCGGTACAATCCCCGGAGCCGGCGGAACACAACGGCTGGCCCGTGCTCTGGGCAAACACAAGGTGTGCTAACCCTACCCTGATCCGAATCCGAGACGTGGTCCTCGGTCCAGGTTTGTCGGAAATACGATGTATTACGGTTGCTTCATGACTAACTGGCTGACTCTCCCTCTCTCGCCATCGACGCCAGGCCATGGAGTTTGTCCTCACCGGCGACTCTGCCTCCGGGGCTGAGTTTGAGCGACTCGGTGTTGTCAACAAGGCGTTCCCCCGAGATCAGGTCATCTCTGCTGCGACCAGCCTCGCAGAGCGCATCGCCTTGATGTCTGGGCCTGTTGTTCAGGTCGCCAAGCAGGCCGTTCTGACTGGTAAGTGGCCCATTCGGCGCAGCAAGCATGGATCTTGCCAGGTTGGTGATTGATGACTGATTCATGGTGGCTTTTTAGTGGAGAACAGTCATCTGGACGCGGGCATGGCGACGGAGAAGATGCTTTACTACTCCACGTTTGGGCTGTCGGACTTCAAAGAAGGCCAAACGGCTTTCTTGCAGAAGAGAAAGCCTAACTTCACGCATGAATAGTGAGGACGAGGATGGCGAGTAATGAACTGACTAAGGTGGTAAGCTGTAGTGGGAGCATAAACCCGATGAATAGAATGCCTGTCTGCACGTTCCCGTTCTTGGCGATTTTTCCTCAGCTACCAACCTTTCATGACAGGGTCAGCCCTGGGTGCTCGTTTCTGTGGCTTCCTGCGGGAGAGCCACGCTCAACTCAAAGTCGTGCATCAAAAAACCGGTAGAGGCGTTGTGAAGAGCATTCGGACCAGCCGATTCCTCTTAATACGGCCGAGTTCGCACCTCGGTAATCCGCAGAACGTGAGTTCGTCTTTCTGCCTGAGCAGTGTACCGAGCATTCGACCGAGAAGACTACAATTCATCCTGCAAGTCTCCTCTCGGAATGCGGGGTGCTGGCAAAGGCGCTGGAGAGGGCGTTTCTTCTGATCGAGACCGGGCAAACCTGTGGATCTCTCTGCAGTCGAAAATTCGAGGCCTCCCTGACCCTGGCTGGCGTTTATGCGACCGAGGGCCTAGGCCCTTACTCATACGCATCTGTGGCCTCTGTCATCATCACTTCGGTGTCGCCCAAGTCTTGGTCATCATGGTGTTTAGGATGTGTGGTAGAATGACGCGTGTTAGTGCTGCAATTATGCGACTTTGGGTATTACTTCTCAGTCCGCATTGAGAGGAACGCTTCAGGCAGGTCCCTCTGTTTCAAGAGGCAATGCGCCTTCGACTCCTACAGGCCAAGATTATCTTGCATAGTGATAAATGGGGTACTTCGACTTAGAATGGACAGATGTGATAGACACCTTCCCTCATTGTCAAATGGCCCACTTAAGTCATGGGACTTCCCCTATCTACACACCTACGCTGATAGTATTCGCATTGTGTCTCTCAGATGCCGTTAAGACGAGGGCTACGTGGTGCAATCACCGTCTAGCGGCTGGCCATAGCTCAAAGGACTCTGATGAACATTTGTTGGCAGGCTCTTGCATCCATGACGTTCATGCGATAAACGAAACAACGGAAAAAAGAGGAAGCAGTCTTTTATGAGACTACCAGCAATACCTTCGAGCGGTTTCATAAAGATAAGTTCGGATGCTTTTACCACGCTCTGGTAAAATAGCATCGTCAAAAAGCAGGCGAACGTCTGCCGAAGCGCCCTAGGTGAAATTCACTTTGTACAACAGAAATTTGTGGATTGGTTTGAGGAACTAGAGCTTGTGGCGGATGGCGACTCTCTCATAGCTCAAGCTACAGTGCTCGTATCTTTTTACCTTGATGAAGCTTTCGCGAACTGCAAGACACCATCGATGATTCTTACTACTCGCCATGGTGTGATTGAGCGTGAGCACGCAATGCATTACGATTGCCGTCGTGATCTAACATAACCCTGAACATATCTTGCATATCTTGTTATCATGAATTGGCAAACTAGCAAATGTCGTTGCCATTGACCCTTCAGAAAGAGGAATCATGGCTATTCGTGTCATGTCAGAATCTCGGTGCCTCGTCTGTTGACCAAAGGAACTTGACATTTAATTCGAGCCGAGTCGTTGTGTGATGTCAAGACAAATACTGCTCGAGGCTTACCCAAAGTCCCCCGCATCTGCTGCTTTGTTATGAGTTCCATCATATTCCGATATCTTATGTTGAATAATCTTGGACAGAAGTGCTAAACGTATGGAACTTGCGTATCATATCTTCACAAACAGATTACTTGACAATTATTAGAATCAAGGACGATCACTAAAAAGTCCGGTACATGGCACTATGCGTAGATTTTATCACGAATCTGTCAGGTTCTGGAATGTTCTCGATTTTTCATTCTTGATGGAAGGCTGAATGCAATCATGATACGAGACTACAATTGTCAGGGGACCCTGCGGGTTCCCTGCGGAGCCACCAAGCAGGGGTCGGTCAGAGGCTAAGGGCTACTGGAAACGTACATATGCTGCGTCAGGGCCCTCTAAGTTGCGGAGGGCTAGAATTCAGATGTATTCTGACCGCCTACCTACGTCCTATTCGCTGCGGACTACGTGTGGAAGACCTCTTCACTCTGCTCAGAACAACGCTCTGACAATGAGTTTCTTCAAGAAGCTTGAGTCCTTCTGGCGACGACGCGCGAGACTTTTGCAAAGCCAATATGTACCAGAGAAGGGATGCTTTCTTCCGTTATTGCAGAAGATATGCTGTCCGGGGTGAATGGAATTGAGTCTATTGAGTCTAGAAATGAGTATTGAGCTCTGGTGGCATTCCCAAATCGTGTGCTGCTTCGTGTCTCGGTCAGACAAATAGTGATCCAGACTCATTCCAACAGCGCTCGGGAGATTCCAGCTAATAGGGCCTTCTACGATGCACGTTTTACTATTGAGTCTTTCGTAAACCACACTCCCGTCGTCGTTCATTTCGTTACTTGAATTGGCCTTAGTTACAAGTGAGATCACCAGTGGCCTTGTCAAAGGAACACCTGTCTGTGTAGGTGTATGAAAGCTGAGAGCTAATCAGTATCTGCCGTATTGTCGATTATACAGATAGATCTACTTACGTTGATGAAACCTCCATCGCCGTGAGTGTAGAACTGGTTAGGTGCCACAAGGTACATGCAGTCATAGCTGGGAGTCATATCAGTTTGTGCACTAAAACGAGGCTGATAAGAAAACCACAACTTACTCCGTGTGGAGGATGCCGGAGCTGAACTCAACACTGTTCAAGCCGTCGATGTTCTCAGGGTTGGCAACCGCGTAACCCTTGTTGTAGCACGCGGCGGCAACGAAACGTGACGGGTCGGGGTTGTTGTTCATCATAGAATCAGTTGTCTGCTGCGTGAAGGCCTCGCGCCCCTTGTCGAAGCTGATAACATCGCCTATGAAAGCAGCGGCTGCCTTGACAGCTTCTGTAACCACGGCAGTGATGGCAGCGGTGCCTGCCGTCGTCAGAATGAGGACGGTGACCGGCTCGCGCTTATGAATGGTTCGCTCAATGACAGCGCGAGAGCCATCGGCTTGGCGGTCACTAAGACTGGCAGTGGTAAGGGTAGGCGCCTGGTCCAGAGACGGCACAGCAGCACCGTTGACAACAGAGGAGCCCAAGAGAGCGATGATGTAGGCAGTGGAACGCATCTCGATGTTGGAATTCGTCGGCTGTTTGAAGGTTGAATGATTGAAATAGGGCGTGAGCGAGACTTGAGAGCTTTGCAAAAGAGCGTAGAGTAGAAAGGAAGGACTTATGTGAAAGAATGTTATGAGGTTGAGAGAACGTGACAAGGAGACTAGAATGAGCGGCGTCGTCTGTTGTTTAAATGCTTCACAATTGCTAAGTCACGTTATGAGAGTGCTTCAAGCGATTCATGTCCTCTAGCCATGATAAGCCACAGCAATGAATTGACGTGCGTTCGTCGCGAGAGGACCTATTATTGAATCCCTGCAAGGAAGCTCACAGACCGTTAACCTACCTACGGAATGGCCGTCGCTGATCAAGTCACCCGCTCGTAGGTGCCAAGAGCTGTGCGGCCCGAAGGTTTCTGTGCGTCCTACTCATTGAACGGTCAATGAAGTCAGCGGGCTGATCAAGCAGAACTATAGCATGATGCATAAGATCTACAAGTTCCCCAAAGCACGTCCGGCCGTCTTGGCGTCCGCCACAGACCATGGGATCTCTGGGCACAGGTTTCACACACAGATGCTGAACAGACGTCAAGATTGTACTGGGGTAGTTGCATCCGTGCGTTCCATCGAATATGGAGATACTAGAGCTTCTGACAGGCAGCGAATGGGGCAGGCCGCTCACATAGGTGAACTGTCTAGTTTCAGCCTCCATATAGTCATGCTAGGCACAGCAGCAGCAAGACGTATACTTTGACCGAGAGATTCCCATAGACTCACCAGCCTTCCTCAGTTTCGCTCAGTATATTAGCCTTAGGGCTGAATTGAGCTTTCGCAACCGGTTCACACTTTCAAGGTGAAGCGATCGCCCCAGTTCGTCTTGCATGCCCTCGTCGCCCCACATTGTGTGACGATCAGACGAAAGGATGGCTGACTGACTCTTTCAGATGGCATAGCCAACATCAGCTGACGCCATCTGGGATCGGGTATGCCCGAGCGATTCCCTACTTGAAACATGAGAATACAGGGTCTCCAAACTCTAAACCGTCACGCTAACTGACTTCAGGCAAGCACCCAACGGTATAGGTAATGAGACCCTTATGCGCTCGACAGAATGAATCGAACAATTCGCGAAAGATGCCCAGGAAAGCGCGGCTTTACCTCTTCGAGTCGAGGAATCGTCGAGCCAGCGTCTTGGTAGGATGTTGCCTAGAATACACAGCTTCTTCGGGCGCCCCGGATCTAAGAGACTAGCAATCTATCTCTATCTAAAAGGCAGGGGCAACGCGAAGACCGTGACGGCTCTTCAGAAAAGAGCCCCAGAAGCCAAGACAGCCGGACAAGGTTGTGCATTGTTAACACGGTCGACAGCGTCGTCAGCCTTCTTGGCGCACTACCGACCATTCCGACAAGGTCACCATCTGATAGTATTGTTCACAGACTGGGCCAAACGCCACTTTCAACAGGCATATGAGACTCACTTCCAACCCAGTATGTTCACCAATTGAACGGCATGGACTGTTAGCTAGGGTTCGCGATAAGAATTCAGGACTTGTGATTACGAAGGAGATGGTGAGCCGGAGCCGGCTCGAGCACTCAGGATCGCAGTTCGTCATATGCCGTCAGATTGTCACAGTTCGCGAGTTCGGCCGAAACAATTGCAATTGACTAAGATACCAAGAGAATGAAGGAGACAAAGTAAAAACAGCAGCAAACTCTCCCACCCCAGAATAAGAGAAGAGAAGAAAAGAATGAGAGAAAACTCGCGAGGGCACAACCCCATTTTTGCCGCTCTGCCCAAAACGTTGTGAGCGCAAGGCTGCGAGCCAGTGCCTCACTCCTCATCGTCATCAGTGAGCTCGGGGATGACCTGGCCCTCGATATCGGGATCGACATCGTTGGCGTCAAAGTACTCAAACTCCTCCTCGGCCTCCTCGGTCTTGGCGCGCTTGACGATGCTCTCATCCTCAACGGCCTCGAGGTCACGGCGGCCAAACCGGCGGACGGCAACGTAGTAGATGTCCCGTAGCGGCGGCACCTGACGCCCTGGAAGGCCAAGAGGCCCTTGAAGCCGGAGCAGTACTTGTACAGGTCCTTCTTGAACTGGTCGTCGATGCGCTTCTTCATGGCCGAGGTGTAGCGCCTCTGCGCCTTGGTGTTGCGGTAGCCAAAGTCGTGGCGTTGGCAGGCGGGCTTGAAGTTGAACATGGCTGGGCGGTCGGGAGCGCTAGTGCAGCCGTCGGAGTCCCATCGGCAGCGCTTGGGGTCCTTGGCCTTGCGGGCCTTGAGAAAGACGGGAATGGTCGTCTTGAAGATGAGCCTATCGACAGCGGCGACACTGCAGACGACAGCGCGGCTCTCGAGAGTCGAGAGGGTAATGGAGGCATCGGTCTCCATGGGCGAGGAGGTCGGCATAGCGGAGGAGAAGGCCGCGAGAAGGGCAACAGAGGCAGCGAAGACGTTCTTCATTTTGAAAGTGCTGAGGAAGCGGAGAAGAAAGTTGAAAGTTGTGTGGTGTTGATGGTATGATGTGGAGTGACTGGAGATGTCTGAGGGGATGAGTGCTGATGAGATGATGTTACAAATGTGTGGATGAACATCCCTTCTTATAGACGTTTGCTTGGGAGCAATCGTCTCCCAAAACCATGTAATCCTTCGTCTTGACATCTCTGAGATGTGTGACTCTGCCTTGCCGTCAGCTTGGCATTGCAATAGCGTTGAAATCAAAATATCTCGAGCCTAATCTCGGGGTGGGCAAGTCAGCCTGGCATGGGTTGCTGCAGGCTTAGAACAAATCACAGTTGACGGTTTCCATTATTGCCCTTGTCGAATCATTGGACAACTCAGAGCTGAATTCGAACGTCGTCAGATTAGTGCAAGTCTGCCCGTCCTCACGATGCAAGCGCCATGTCTTTGCGGTAAAGTTCGAAAGCGCTTGCATTGATGGTAAGGTAAATTTTGACTGACCAGGTGAACATCGTGAACCAGGCCATCTAGGGAAGGTCTAGACCATACGAATGGAATACTCGTGCCCAGAACGGCATCTCCTCCGGTAAGGCGGTCACAAAAGCTTATTTCGATGTCCGTCTTACAATGCTGTGGCTGCTTGGGGGCTGTTCAGCCCAGACATTCCCATGCTGCATACCCGATCCTGGGACCCCAATTTCGACACGTGTGTGTGAACTCTTGATCGAATATTGACACGGACACAGTCGTTGTCATCAATCCTGGGAATCGATTTTACCATTTCAGTTTGCCGCAGAATTTCCTCATCAGAACATTGGCTTCTCTTGTTCTGAGGGGGTACCTTTGCATGTGTCCCTCTGTGAAAGACTGGCCCTGGTAATGCTGTGAAGCCATCGAGGCGTCGCCGTGGCCAATGCACCAGGCACCACCATGCAAGGTCCCGCAACCAGGCGACCGATGCCAACTGCGGGGTGTCCATCATGAGTCTGTTCCTGTCACGCACTCGCATGGCGGGTAGATCTGGCTGAATCCGTCTCGTCCAGAGCCCGTCACTGAAGTTCGACAAGGCGCTAGATCGCGAGGCGCGGGCTTATAGTATTGGCCAGTAATGCGCCTCGCCCTACTGCACGGTTGCCCGCCTTACCCGCTTTGGGGGCTGGAATCGAGAAGCGTGCTGGGAAGTGGGAGTCGGGGTAAAGCGTAAGCCGGCGTCTTCAGGGGTAGACATCGCTTCTGCACAGCCGCCTGTTCGTGTCGTCCATTGGTCAAAGGGTCGAGAGAGAATTTGCTACGTAGCACCTGTCTGCGCAAGGCGCATATTAGCTTGGTTCTAGATTGCATGTGAAGAGCAAATTCAGGCGAGGCAGATAGTATCATACACTGCCAAAGCCTTTCTGGCCTCAATATGAGCAAAGCCTATATTTCTGCTGACGGGACTTCGGAAAGGAACATCGGGGTGTGGTCAGCTGTCGAGGAGCGGAAAAGGAGACAGCATAGAGCGGATGCATCTGTCTGGGATAGGGGATCAAGGCTGGGAGTTGGACGAGGGCTGATGGAGCGGATGACCCCAGGTTGTGAGCAGTTGTAGGTACTCGAAACCAAACTTTGATTCGGACACAGGAGCAAATATCCATCACTCCAGGCTTTCATTTACGTAATAAAGGTAAATCAACCAAGGAGACATCTAGCCATATCTACTTCAAGATCACGCATAGGTGGCGAAGCCTACCAGGTCAGGGGCAAATCGCCCCTGAGTCGGAGCCGTGAAGACGACCTCGTTCTCGTCTCCAGCCACGAACCCATCAAGCTCTATCAGCAGACGTCCAGTTTCGAACCAATCACCACCGGCAAGAGGGAACGCCCACCGCTTGCCGCCTGCCTGGTTGACGCTGACGGTCAAGTTCCTCGAGTTGGACTCCCAGTCGCCGATGGTGTGGTGGTAGTCGTAGTTAATAAAGTCAACCCCGACACGCAGCGCACCGTCGCTCGGCGCGCTGACACCACGGAAAGTGACGCTCGCGTCGCCGCCAATGTTGCCTGCCTTTTTCTGCACCGGCGCGCACTCGTCGGCTTGACAGTCGACAAGCCTCGCGCCGCCGGCGAGGGTGGCGTTGGCGATGGAGTAGTAGTCCGCCTCCTTCGGAGCGGCGGTCTCCACAATGTCGCTGAGAACAAGGAGACGGAGTTCGTGTGGCGCGAGCTTCACTTCTTGCGTGCCAGTGATGGCCCCGTCGGCGTGCGCCCACACATCGCGTGTCTTGGCCGACGCCACGCCGATAAGGCCCAAGTCGACATTGACGGTCTGCGTCTGGTTCTTCCAGTTCGCGACACCTAGAGCCTTGCGCCCGCCTGAAAGCTCGCCGGCCCAAATGTCCCACTCTTCCTCTGTGTAACGGATAACGAGCTCCGCCGCCTTCGCGAGAGGATCCTGGTTGATAGCGATGGCCTCTTCGTTGGACATGATCTTAAGGGACTCGGCAGGGATCTCGGCGCGGTCCATGACGCCGCCGATGAAGAGGGGCGACTTCATCAAGGACCAGAAGCCGAAGTGGAAGCGCTCTTCCTCATAGGACAGCGCACCGAGGCCAATGCTGCTTCTCGTCAGCGTAGATCAACTTTGGATGCAAATGGCAAAGATGCCCGTTCCTTCACTCACATGAGCATGTCCATGTCAGCAAACGCACCGGGTCCCGTATGCTTGGCATGTGGGACGACCTGGTTGGTGATGCGCCAGATAGCCCTCCAGGCGTTGAAGATGTCATTGCTCATCCTCCACGTGTTTCCGAGTGGTGCGGCCCTGGGAACCTGTGAGCGCAAGAATCTAGACCCCCGGTCGAGGGCTTCTCACCAGTCAGGCACATTTTCGCCGATTCCCCACTGGCAAAGGAAGTACTTGATGTCACGGCCGGCCTTGTGGAGCGCATCGGCCATCTTGACGAAGCGGTCCGGACTCTGCGCCTCGGCCGATTGCCAATCGACCATCTCGGTGCGCGAGGTTGCATAGCAGTTGTCATACCTGGGGTGAGCACAGTTAGCATCTGCTTTACGTTTTTATTCATCTCTTGCTGCTGAGAAGCTTATCCGTACTTGAGCGAGTCACCACCCCATTCGGCAAACGACTGCGCGTCGATATCCTCGTAGCCTGCAACACGTCAGTCCTCCTCTCGCTCATCCATCCAATCGCGAACACGAAGGGGGCGTGCTGAAGCCTCACCCAAAGACGCGGGGATATCAGATGATCCGCACTGCAGGTACCCCGCCCCGGAGTAGAGACCAAACTGCAGCCCGAGGCCGTGGATGAAGTCGCCGAGCTCGACAGGCCCGGACGGGAACAGCGTCTCGTTCCACTGCAGCCTGCCCTGCGCGTCGCGGTCGCGGGACGGCCACCCGCACTACGACGGTGACAATATCGTAGCCGAGGCCCGCGAAGCCGGT